GAAGGGAGAGGTCTTGGGCATCCACGTCGCAGCTGCCACATTTGCAGAGGCAAATGAGCTCTCTTAAAATTTGTGCTCCAAATCATTTCCAGCACACGGAGTGACAAGTTGTGTGTGAGAGGAAAGCAGGAAGCAGGCATTAAATCCTTCACCTCGGCACTGCCCTGCATGAGGTGAGCAAAGCTGGTGCTTTGAAGGAAGCAGCTCACACTCAGAAAGTCAGTGCTCTGTACTGACATTCCAGCTTGTGCCCTTGCTGGTGTTAAGACAGTGCACAGATTGGAAGAAGGCCACAAGATCTGCCTTGCTCTCTCATTTATGGGAGGAAAAATCAAAGCTTGCCCCTCAGCTGGATGTCATCCATCTCATCTCACTTCTTGGGGCAAGGAACATCAGAACAAGTAGATGTACATCCACGTGTCTATACCTTCACTGTATTATGTCGGGGCCTGAGACCTCATCAGACTTCTGAGTTGGGTATCGTTGTTGCCTCACCTGAGGTTTGCTTTCCTCTGCTGCTGTTGGTTGGTTTTGGAGAGCAGATCTTCAAGAAAAAGGACCACTCGTTTGCTGCTGATCTCACCACCCCACAGCTCCTGCTGTCTCCTTCCAAGCAGCCAGAGCTTGAGCAAAGTAATGCTTTAACAGCTCCATTAGTTGATACAGATTGTTTCCTGCTTAGTCCCAAGGCAACGCGGCGTTAAGCGATCCTCCTTCTTTCTGGATGCTTAGAAGAAACTCTCCTGTAAGCACTGCCTAGAGATGCTCTGTCCGAAGAGAAACCACCTCACAGTGCCAGTGTGGAGACCTGCCAGCCCCAGTGACAGTGCCACTCAGGTAGGACCTCGTGTTGTATGCTGGCAGAGCATCCTCTGGGAAGGCTTGGCTGGGCACAGAAATGTTTTTCTTCTGCTTGAAACAACTTGAATTTACTGAGCCCTTGCTTGCAGAAGACCTCATTTGATAGAGTTTGAGAATGTGAAAAAAAGCTCATCATAGCCAGCAGGCTCTGCAAGTTCCTTTTGAAACAGTCACTGGTTGCTGCCAGGGTTTGTTTTGTTGTAATATTAATGATCTCTCTGGGCAGCTTGGGTTTCATACACACAACTCTTTAATTATTCAGATAAAAATAGCCAAGGTGTAGCTGTAAAGCGTTCATGCTGCATTTCAGTTCATATGCAGAAAAGGAGTTGGTGAGAACTTTGATTAAATACAAGCCTAAAAATACATGGAAAATGTAGAACAGCCAGAATCTAAATACTTTTCTATATGGAAGGACCTGTATGTAAGTCCCAGTTTACCTCGCACCTTCTGATAAATAAAGCCACTTTCAGAGGTGACTCACACCATGAGACTGCCCCAAATGATGAAAATAGCTCAGTGTTCCTTCTTCTGCCCCAAAAAAAAAAAAAAAGGCTATGCAAGAAGCTTCCTGCTTTCTGCATATGGCAGTGCTCTGGCTGGCAGCTCAGTGCTAAGCTGGCCACATTTGTAAGTTATTTATATTGGTTGGACTATATGACCTTAGTGGTCTTTTCCAACCTTAATGATTCCATGATTCTGTTTTATGAACTAGGTAAACTGGAAAAAAAAAAAACCCAGTTTGACAGACCAGTCTCATGGTTCCCTCAGTCATTTTTAATGATATTACAATATGAGCTTTCTGGACAGCTGGCAGGTTGCACACTTCTGTGGTCGGATCTTACATCTGAAGCTTTCCCAGAGCAGAACAGTTGCAGGAACCCACTGCAGTTGCTGCTCAGGGCAATGGCTTCCACCTTCCCTCCTTTTCAGGTGTCAACTGGCAACATAATCATCCCATCAGAGGAATTCAGACTCACGCTTCCGTGACCTCAGTATGTGCATATTGTCATTCAGGAGAATAAACACCTCAAATCTTTTCCTATAATTTCTATTTCAAGTCTATATAATACAGTTGCTTAATTTTAAGGCCATATTTACATTTTAATTTCAGCTATTTCGGGTTTGTTTTTTCAGTTGGCCCAACTCATGAGGACACAAGAGGTTTCAAATTTATTAATGGAACAGTAATGACTTCACTGGAGTGACTCCACATGGGAATAAAAACACAATAAAATGTAAATCAGATATATATATCCTGAGCTCCTAATGCATTGATGTCATCAGGAGAGGTGGGTGTGCAATGTGTGTAAGTTATGACAGGTCAGGTGGTTTTACATCCCAGACAAAAACCTAGCCATTCTAGATAGGGTCAAACATGACATCATTTTATATTGCCTCAAGAAAATGGTGATGTGTGGAGATACAAAACAGTCACTGTGATACAAAGGTTGGTGAGAATATTAAATGGGCAGAGATTTATCCTACAGCCTGCAGGAAGCAGGGGAAAAACAAGTTGATTTTTATCACAAAAAATAATCTGAAAATAATTATATTTTTGTTGAAATTTATGGTAGCATTCAGTCTAAGCAAAATTAATTGATTTTAAAAAGGTTATAAAAGCAATATTCTATTTCCATTGGAGCTGGGGAAAAATATGTGATTATGATGGCAAGATGTGCATTACATAACAGTTTTTTGGTCACTTATCCCATCATGAAGCAGGAGATAGTGCAATAAAATCCACAGTGGGCAGAAAAAGTAGAAATCTATTCCCAGGCAGTGAAGAAATAAACCACAAAACCTTCTTTAGAGATGCTGATGGGCAGCTGTGTGCTAAGTGCTACTGTCTCTGTGGACTCAACAAAGCCTGGCAGAGGGTTCTGGAGGTCAGGGCAGAGAGCCCTGCCTTGGCACAGCTCTGTCGCTGTCACAGAGAGCTCAGCGCTGCTCCTCCACTCCCTGTGAGGAGCTACAGCTGCCATCAGGCCTCCTCTCAGCTCCTCTGCTCTGGGCTGAGCAAACCAAGGGACCTCTGCCACCCCTTGCACATCATCCCCTCTAGAGCCTTCACCACCTTGGAATACACAGCAAAGAAGTATCGTGACTGTGTATGTTTCCAATAAAGGGGACATGGGGCACAAAGATCTACTGTGGGATTCCACCTGGAAGCATCAGAGTACTAGACTGATTAAACATAAGAAACACCATAAGGGAGGATCTAGCAGCTCCTCTTGAGTAATAAGTGACCAACGTTCAATTTGAAGCCAGAGGAGCCCAACTTTCCTTCCCAGGAGCTTGGTGATGGGGCAGGTATTTGAAACAAGGCAGCAGGGGTTAATATGACAAGACTCAGGTGGAACTGAGATCCTCTCAAAGCACTGCAGCCACATAATCAACGCTTTGATGGTGGTTCATCTTTTTGTTTCACTTATCCTCCAGCCTTCTTTATCAGACCAGTTAATTATAGAAGCTGGGCCCCTTGGCCTCTGAACCTCTCAACTGCATGCCATTATTTCTTTCAAGCATTTCTAAGAAGCACTTGGAGAAATCTTTTTTTTTTCTTTCTTTTAATTAAAGCTGAGGTTTCAACATAATGAAAGAACTTCAGAATTGAGACCATCTTGCAGAAAGTTTTTCTGAAATCAGCTTCTCCTTTCCCTTCACAGTCACAACCTTTTTCAGTTCCCACTACTTACTCCCTTTTTCTTCCACTCCCTAGGGAATTAATGCAGGATGTTTGCAAACACGTGTACAGAAATGTTCAGGTTCTGTTAAAGTGGTCTAAAAAAGACTTGATCACAAGGGAACAATGGACAGTGAGATAGCATAACGAAACATCAGGGAAACTTCCAAGTTCTGTTTTTATTTAGAAAGAAAATTATATGCAAATCTCTTCTGAGGATCTCATACTTCTCGTATTAGGCTAGAGAGCAATTAACATCTGAATTATTATCTGAAAGGGCAGTTTTACAAGAGAGGTTCATCTTGCTGGAAGCATCCTGCCCCTTGAGGGGCCATCCTGCCCCACTCTTATCTCTCCACGTGGCTGCTGTAAGTCCTCAGCAGTGGAAAAATTCCTCTCCCAGAACACAACCACTGCCCCCCCCAAAAAAAAGAACTGAGAAAACTGAGATAATTATTTATTGGGCAAGTAAGCTGAATCAGAGTGCAAACAACTTGGAGAAGCTTCAGACTCGGTAACGTAGTGCATGAACCAGGGTGGGAGAGCTCAGACATAGGAGCCAAATCAGAGCTAACAGCTTAGACTGGCCAGAACAACAGAGTTTGCTCTGTTGCACCTTTTAGACAGATCAGATCTTTGCTCTGTGCGATCAGATCTGTTGCTGTGTTACAGAAACAGATGGCTGGAAACAGGAGGTTCAAGGGGTAACAAATACATATAGAAGCTGGAAAAAAAAACAACCTTTTTTCCCCAATCTCAAGGCAAGAATCACTCCTGCCTCACCCCTAGTCCCAGCTGCTTACCTGCTGCTATAACATTTCTTTTTTTTCAGCCTCTGCTCTTGTAAGCCTCAAGACTATGGCTCCATACTTAGAAACAACTTGCAACAGAAAAGCCAAAGGCTTGCAAATTTATTTGACTTAGCTTCCTTACCACATTTTCACATCAACAGGCTACCCACCCACTTAACTCTCACATTTGACAGGGTTTCTATACATGTGTAGCAACAGTAGGTGAGGTGCCCATGCCATACATGAGCCCTATATACTGCCTTCTACGTCACTGAACTCTTCACATCAAGATAGTTTTTCTTCCCAGAAGCCAAACTATAGCACAGATATTACAAAGCAGAATTTACTGTCACACAAACATTCACAGTAGAGAGTCCTTTCAGATTTGATATCTGTGAAATACTACTGTTTCCCTTAGTAATTAACTATATTCTTATATACATCATTAGATCCAATGCTTTGATTCTGAGGTACCATGGAGCAAAGCAGCAAGAATACAAATACGTAATATAGTAATTTAGCCCACTAAACCTCTGCAACAGGTGAAATATCCAACAGAAGAAGTTTCATTTTCAGTTTGCAGGGATGAAAATTAAAAAACACAGCCAAGCCACCTCTTTGCCTATATATAAGCCAAGGGAAAGTGAAGGAGAAAAGAGATATAACCATAAAGAAAAGTTTTATTTAGAAAGTCCTGTTTCAATAAACACTTTTCCTTATGCTGGCACAAGAACTTCACAAACGACTAGGTATGGCATTTCAATTCTAGGACAGCCCACTAATGCAATGTGTAGCTCGCAAAAAGCTCCAGTTGCTTAGTAAAGTTCTACCTGCAGCTTTACTGTCCTTTATTTGGGAACAGGGAGAAGGTTAAAATAGGCACAGATAAAGCCACCTCATGGCGATGAGACTTCTGACAGCAGAGGCACTCTGGGCTGTCAGACTCTCTTTCCACCGCAGTGATCAGCTGTAGAAACAGCACAACCCAACAGCAAAGGGTTGCTACTCTTCTTTCAGCATCCTCCTTCCCCATTCAGGAAGAAGGCACAGTGTGGTGAATGTGGTTTTGTGGCTTTTAAATGTAAATGAATTTTAACATGAAGTACTTCATACATGAGTAACTGAAATATCTAAAGCATTTCCCATACATTGTGCTTTCCAACTCATCTTGCATTTAAGCTATCATTCTACGGAGAGATGAGTTTTCCTCATGACACAAACATCATCATCCAAAGAAAGAACCTTCTCAAAGCTACTGAGGGAACAATTTGAAACTTCTTTTTTTTATAAAAAGACTTCTTCCAGAGCTTTGCTCATTTCAATCTTAAAGGATTCCTGAGATAACAGGCACTTGTTTTTTCTGAGACTGCCCAAAACATTTGGCCAAAAATGGCATCAACATTATTAATGCAAACAGCAAGCTTGTTGTTACAAAAGGCTTTATTGTGCCTGTCCAAAAGCTTTTCTGTTCCTGGTGGCAGTCCATCAGCATGTATCTCAGCTGGTCACACACTGGTGCCAGCTGTGGCCGAGCACTGTTCACTTTCCATCTCTGAGAGAGGCTCTGTTTGGCTTGTCTGTGCCTGACCCCCGGATTTCACAGCGTGCAGGGCATAGTTAATGCTTGTGCTTTCAATCCAGCTCCAGGACCCCGTGAGGGGGTTGTACAGCATCCCATTCACAGCCTTGACAGAGAAGCCATCTAGAAAAGTAAGAAGGCATAAAGAAACATTTTCTTTCTGAGTCACTGCCACATCAAACACTTTAGAACAGCAAGTCTGAAATACGCTTCTTCCACTTGTGGAATTGTGCTTCACAAGCCTTTTGTCTGCTTTTGTCAGACACCAGCAGCAGCAATGACCACACCATTACCACTGTATGGTAAGCCACTGCAAGGAGATACACTACAACCAACCAACCACGTGTGGGTGAATGGTAAAGTTTTGGTTTTTCTTATAGACAGACACATCCTTCAGACTGACACCGCATGCTTCAAAATCAAAATGTGAGCACGTCTCTGGAAGGACTTTGCAGATCCCTCTAAGAAGAGGAAATATAAGAAAGGCAGAAGAGTGCAATCAAAAACTTGGCGTAAGCAAGGAGTGATTTAGCACTCCCTGTTGAGCAGCTCTCAGTTCACTGCATGCCTCTGCCATGTCCCAGTAGGATGCAGCAGACAAGGCAGAAAACAAACAGCCAGTCAAAACAAATCACTCCACTGCACCTGCTTCTCCTTTTCAGGAGAGAAAAGCAACAAGCACCAGCACGTTGAGTCGGGCCGTGATCCTGATGGCACCTCTGGAAGGTGCTGTGCAAAGGCCTTACCAAGAGAATACTCATACATCAGGTTCCCTACAGTGAACTAAAGGAGAGTGAAATATTTGGTGAGAGGGTTTTAAAGCACGTTTAGAGAAGGAGGACAATGAAGCAGAGTTCTTTCCAGCTCAGTACTTTTTCTCTTGTAAAAGCCATCAAACCACAGCTGCTTTGATCAAATCAGCATGGTACTGCTTCTCAAGAACTGACTGCTGTACTTGTGGTAGATTTCACCTCCACAATCTTTAAGGAATCTTTTAGTAACATAATATTCATAAAGAACATGGAGCCACAACCAAAAATAAAACACCTCCCAGCAGGAAGATGACAAACAAAGCAGTGCAGCAGGGCAGCTCCGGAGTGCCAATACAGTTATTTCCTGAAACCTGACCTAGAAGATATGAACCACTTCAGAGCGTACATCCTGCCACCAGAACGGGATGGAAAACCTTGGCCTTCTTGCTTCAGCTGTCCAACAGTGGGACAGCTGTAATGGTGATTTTGTTCGACTAATCTCTGCATTCGTACAACTCCATTTTGTTTATACAATAGCCAGCACGCAGCAGTGTCTCTAACACAGAAATGGTACTTACTGACTAGTAACTCACACAGGAAAAGCTGCATGCTGCCAACAGCAATCACCCCAGCTCTCCTATCCCCTTGCCACTCCTACAGCAAGCACTGAGTCTCTCCCCATGCTCCCATCACCCAGCCCAGTACTCACTGGCTTCCAAGAGGCGCTCCAGCTCCTCTGGGGGAACAAACTTCTCCCAGTCATGTGTTCCTTCTGGTACAATGCCTGCTATTTTTTCTGCAACCACAATTCCCAGGATATAGGACAACTGAGTTTTATTGATTGTAGTAATGAACAAAGAACCTCCAGGCTAGTTAAAATATTAAAATGTTAAATCAGAAAAACATTCATTTGAAAATACACTTTAAATTCACTCTCATTAAAGCTTAAGCTGTCTATCTACAAGCCCATATGCTACAAGGTGACATAACCTTAATCAGAAACCACTTCCTTGCACAGAAACCATCTAACAAAGTCAGTTATAATATTGCCCAGGAAATGGATAAAAGAAAGGCATAAAGTCAATACAGGACCTGTTGTAAAAACAAAGATGTGTTATGTTGGTTTGTTTGTTTTTAAATTGAAGCTTTAGTACAACATGCAATACTGCTCAACTTACCAGACTGCTGAACATAGTGCTTGCATTAATGATGACAGGGACAAAATCCAAAGCCAGGAATGAATTCTAAGCATTTAAGAGACTTTTTGGTAGGAAAAAAATGGTAATTTCTATGTCCCCAGATGGCCAAAAATCAGTTAAAAATTCCATTCAAATAATCTATTATTCCTTCTGATGACCAAAAAGAAACATCACGAGATTAGAGAGATGCTGCTTGCACACCAGGCCTACCATCCTTCTTTACAAAGATATGAAAAGGAATAAAACAACACCTGATTATCTCTGAGGATCACTATCACCCTTTATAAGCAACTCAGGAGCTTCTTCTGAACCAGAAACGTTATTACAGTCAGTTTAAAGGCAGTCTGAGCCACTGCACTCCATCCCCAGCAGCACTGACTTGTTTTACCTAGATGAAATGGGATGCAACCAGATTTATGATGCAAAGCTGTATCTCAACAGTAGGTAATGCCACTAACACTTTCCTAAGGCAGGACAGGGGAAATAAATATATACCAATTTCAGGTTCCTGAAGGTAGGAAGATGAACTCACACCTTTGGAGCACGTCTCAGCACTTGTGCACCCAAGTGGAGAAAGGGATGCAGATGGAGGCATTCTCACATACCTTCAAATGAAAATCTCCATAATAAAAGAGAACACTTCCAATAACGAAAGCAAGAACTCTCTTACCTTTAACACCTGACAGCAACACTTGATAAACATTTCAAGGTCAGCCACATGCTCCACGACTTCAGAAGCTACAATTACATCAAACATTTCCACAGACTCCTCCACAATCTCCTCCAGTGAGCTAGACTTGTACTGTATTCTCTTGGCCAGAACTGGATCAAATGACTTGTGCTGATCCGCCGCTCTGATGTTTTCTTCCAGAGGATCAATTCCAGTAACTGAAGCTCCCAGTCTACCTAGAGGCTAAGAATACAAAGTGTAATTTATTCTCCGCGTGAAAGCAGAGGTTTTTTTTCTTTTAATTAAAGGTGCCTTCAATTTCACAGTGTCCATAGGTGATGCAGGAAACAAGGCAAATGCCAATAAATGACGAGCTCTGGCCCAGCAGTTTTATTTCAAATGTTAATTAAAGGGAAAATAAAAGCACTTAGCTTTATCTGCATTGGGAGCAATAATTTTCTCCGACAGAAAACTAAATACCAGAATATACAGTATTTTTCAGAAAAACTTCTGAGTCCACTTTGTTGTCCCAAATAAAGATTTCCTCCAACATCACCCTCAGGAAGAAGAAAAACACAGGAGGAAAATCAACACAGTATGTAAAGAGGGAAAACAATGCCTTATTTAATTACTGTCATTACTTTCTTCAACATCCATCTGTAACGGCAAATCCTCATATCTTTTTAATGGTTACTTAATACGTGATTATATCTGGGGCTTTCTCACTGCTGAGAACTGAACACTGATGCTTGCTAGGATAGCAGCAGGCTTGGCTGTCACTCAAGCTCTTCCAGTGTCTTCTTACTCATAGGTTAACACCTCAGTCATCACCTCTCCTGAAACCGAAACAGGCTGCTGAACATGACCACATGTATGTTATTCCAACCCGAAATCCACCAGTTATTAGCCTAAGAGAGCCAGGCAGCACACCGGTTCTGCACGTCCTGTCAGAGAGCAGGCTCTCATTAAACCAAGGATTTTGCTCAGAATGAATTAGGGAAGAAAAAAAAACAAATAGGGAGAGATTATTTGCAACACTTCATTCCAGATACTGATCAAGTTCCCAGGATCACTCGGCTGAAGCTACAAACCACCCATCATCTACTGATGAGATGCAGCGCTGCTCGGGGCCTGTGCAACCATTTGGTTCCACTTCTCAGCTCCCAGGTTCTGCAGACCGCTCAGGAGCCTGTCTGTACTGCTAACTAAGGCATCACTGGAAGAGAAGAGCTCCTTCTCTGAGGATTAGAAATGGAACAGCATCACAGTTAACTCAAAAAACACACGTGCTTTTTAACAGGAAAAACAGGAGCACACCGTTTCTTACCTCACTCAGCAGTCCACCACCACAGCCAACATCCAGAATCTTGATCCCAGAAAGTGGGCTTCCCTGCTGGTAGGTGCTGCCCATGTTCAGCACAGTGTCTCTAGCAGAAAGGGGCAAACACACAGGGTAGTTCAGTAAATGCAACACGCATTTAACTTACGTGTTGCTAATGGTTATACATTCTCCGTGTTTTCTGAGGTTGCAGGGAAATATTTCCCATAAAAACACCTGTCTTCAAGCCCACACCTAATAAACGGCACTCTGATGTCATTCATGGAATGCAGGGCTGAGTACTCTCCTTGCTCGTCCCACCACCTGTGTGCCAGGACCTGGAATTTCCTCAATTCCTTTGGATCCACTGACGACTGCGAGGTGCTGAGCAGCCTCCTCACGGTGACCCTGAGCAACAAAAGCCACGTCATGAAACTAATACCTGAACTATGGTGAGAAAACACATTCCTCATAATCAGAGGATGAAAAAAAAAGAAAAGAAAAAAAAAAGCCTTCATCCAACTCCCAGTATTTGTGGTATTTAGAAATGCCTTCAGGCATGCCATGATGCCATCCCCTGTCACACAGCGTTAAGTCCAGCCCCAGTCCTTACATGCTGCCGTTTAGGTCAGTCGGAGCGCTGCTGGGATTCAGCCGAACTTTGCCATTACGGTTCAGGAGAGCGCTGGTGGGGAGCGTGCAGCAGGACGGCTCGCCGTGGCCACCTGCAGACACAGAGCGGGGCACTGAGCGGCACACGCCGGCTCCGCAGCTCGCGGGCAGAAAACCACCCGGCCTCTCACCGCTGCTCTGGGACGTACGCACAGCCTCAACTGGGAATACCTACTGGTTATCGCTGCGTTAGAGAAAGGAAAGCAGTTTATTCTGAGCGTGCCCGCACAAACACGCTTCCGGATAAAACAGCCCCAGGGCTGCCATCCCTGATTCACCGCACGGCTGCACGCTCCTTCGCAGCTCACGCACACGGGCACCGGCCACGAAACGCCTGCGCGAAACCCGTCCGGGAGGGGCGCAGCCTGGCCGAGGCCGCCGCGTTCTCCAGCCTTTTCCAAATCGCCTCCCGGCCCCACCGCGGCGGCCCTGGAGGAGCCCGGGCTGCGCGGCACCGACCGCTGCACCCCGCGGGGCGGCAGATCCTACCGCCGGACCGGACCGGACCCCGCCCGCTCGCCCCCCTTCAACCCCCTCCCTCTCACCGGCCGCCGCCCACCGGCCGCTCAGGGCGCGGACAAAGGCGCGGAACGTCCCCGCGCCGCGCACCATGGCCGCGCTCTGCGCTCCCGCTCCGCGCGTCCGCCGGCAACGGGGACGGCGCCGCGGCGTTCCGCTGCTTTCCGTTCCTTTCCGTTCCGCCGGGCCGCTCCCCTCCCCAACTCCGCTCTTCCCATCGGGTTAAAAACGCGGCGCCGGAGCCCGGGCGCGCTGTCCGTACGTTTCCCCTGCGGAGACGCGGTGCGGTGATTTCGCTGTTCTAACAACTGTAGGGGTCTTCCAGCCCTTCCAGGCACGCAGGGAAGGCCCGGGAAAGCCGCCGTGCCCGCACATAGAGCCGGCTGCTCCGCGGTGTGCAGGAACCGCTACGGCCCGAAGCGCCCCGCAGGCGGGAGCGCTCCGACTTTGTGTCTGCCGCGCCTAAACGCACGGTGAACTTGCGTGGCCGGGATGGGCCGACAGCTGGACTGCGCGATCTGAGAGATTCCGACCGCAATGATTCTGTGATTCGCTTAGCAGAACAGGCAGTCTGGAACAAGAGAGCCAATATACACGCTGCCATTGCTTTTATATTTTCTATTTAAAGAAGAATAGTAACAAGTAATTAAATACACACACACTGGATAAGCTGGTTCTAAACTGGAGGCAGCCGAACCATTATTGCATTCCAGCATTAACAGCAGATTTTAAGACAACAGCATTTAAGAGCAGCAGCCCAGTCTCTGCCCTCTGCCTTAAAATAACCCTCAAAGACACAACAGATTTTTCTCCCAAAGCACAAATTATGCCATAATTCAAAAAGCTTGTAACTGCTGAAGCTTTAGACTCTGTTAGTTTACTGCCATTGGGCCTAGCTATGACAGCAGCCTGTTCCTGGACTGCAAAACAGGTGCCTTTGTGTTCATATTCATGTTATTTTTGTTGTATTTGCCTTCAAAGCAGCATTTGCGTGGAAACCAGCTCTCACTTGACTCCACACTGTCCTTGACTCATAAATATTTCAAGGGAACCCCCGCAGAGTTGCTGGCATTCGACATTGTGTGCCTCCATCTCCTAGACTGCACAAGTATGGAAGCATTTTAAAAGGTTGCTTTAGAAAGATAAAATAGAGTAAGGATCCAATCTGGATTTTTCCAGAACGACACATCCCCATTTTTGCAGTATATATTCACATGTTTTAAGAACACTTCAAACGTAGGGAATTAGGACTGGATGTTATTTTGCCTCAGTGCTTGACAAAACACACATAAGGGAGTTACTAAACAGGAAGGAGCCCGATGGCTGTGGTGTTGCCATAGTACCAACGTGCATTTAATCACAGGCAGGCCAGGTATGCTGCTCAGTAAGGTTCCCCCCAAACAGTTCAGAGATCGTATGCTCTTTTATTGGCATACAGTCACTACCCACGGAAGTGCATTTGTGTCCATAAAGTGTTTTCATATTTACAGGAAGTGACAGAATTCCAGTTGCTGGCAGAGCATATCAAGCTTTTCATACAGTCTTTCTTTTATTGTTAGACAGATAATAGAAAATCTGAACTGAAAATCAAATTCAATGCACTATGGAAACTGTATTCCTCAGTAGCTTTTCTTCAATTGCCTTTCAATTTTCTTCTCTCTCTCCACGTCCTCCTAAGATACCAAATCTGCCACACTACCTGCTCTGCACAAACTCACTTCTACCAAAAGCTTGGATCAATGTACTATCATTTATACCAATAAAAACAGTGCATTACAAATTTATGCCTTATTTTGCTGCTTGGAATGATTGCTTACTCTGTGCTATATAAATTTTGAGTGCATGTTATTTATAAGTGAACTAACTAATTATTTATCCGTAACAGGGCTCTGGTAAACATGCGTGTATGCGACAGCCATTAAACTGCTTAATAGACGTATAGGTACAATGTGATTCTTTGCAGTGAAGCAGCTTGCTTCTGCATCTAATTATGAAAAACACGTATTGGCAAAGATGTTACATAGCTGCATTCTACTTGTAGTTAAATGGATTAATCTGTCCAAGAAGACATGCTTTGCGAGTTGCTGCACTGGTGCAATTTTTTCCCCTAGAAGACACAGCCATCAAAGAGCTCTCACTTTGATGCTGAGCCTTTTATCTTTTCCACCACCGGCATCAGAGCAGACCTTCTGGGCACAGACCTCCGACCTTCTCCTGAAATGATGTGCCTTCTGTAACAGGCAGAGGCCTAGGGTTGTGCAGGCTTTGTTTCTTTGTTTTTAAAGTAGTATGATTTCACATTCTTGTTACTAACAGCTGTAGTTCATTTCCCAAAAGATGTGACTAGTGATCTCGTTCACTTTATGGCGATAAAAATCTCTGTACTTACATTTAGTGAAGTTGCTGTCTAACCAATGTGTTCACCTTATAGGAATCACAGTTCTCGTAACAATAGCATAAATAACCAGTTTTAATGTTCACTATACATTTAGAGCATGTGCCAAAATGCCATGTTTATCTACTGTCAGTTTCCTAAAGCACACTGAGTGCCATTTATAAATATATTTCATCAACATCTAGCAGGGTGAGCCTCGTTCCTGCAATGTCCCTGAACGTCCACAGAGTTTTCTCTGGAAATTGGGTGAGGAATAGAGTTCCAGAGCACTGTCACACAACATCAGTTCGTTGCACATATTCCTAGCGGGGCTCAGTCTACGTACCACTCGTATTACAGTGACCCATATGTTACACACACAGCAAATTTACTTGAGAGTCCGAATAAAAAGGATGTTAAAAATCTATTACACACCTAAAGGAAGATGTCTACACTCTGTTCTTCCACATCCCCCACCCAACAGATGAATCTCATCGAATCCATGGATAACATACTGTGACAAGTTAAAAGTCTCTTCTCAAGTACTTTAAAAATTTGTTATACTAAAAAAGCTGCCTTTTTCTGAAGTATTTTCTACAATTTAACACAAAATCCAGGTGCAAGAACTTTAAACAAAAAAAGAACTAAAGAGCTTTATTGACATCACAGTACATTCAATAGTAATTTTAAGAACATTACAGCTGAAAGAGAATGGTGTGTTTTATATTCTTATTAAGCACTACCGTTCTTGAAAAAATGTAATACAAAGAAATCCTATTAGGTATTTAATTCAGAGCAGCATTTGGAAAAAAATACACCTATTTACACGTTAAAAAAAGGGTTCTGGTTTCACCTACATAGCCACAATGTGCCTCTATAATGAGACAAGCCTTTTATAACTCATGGAATTTTTAAACATCATAGCACTGGTGCCATTAATTCCTCAGCGTTTACGACGAGGAGGAGTTGTTGATCTGAAAAATAGAGGAAAAAAGGGGAAAAAGTTAACTGGAAAAAATAAAAGACCCCCAAACCCACACACACTTTAGGCTTAACAATTAATAGCTTTAAAAGATTTTCCAAAGTTACTTTTGCCTACAAAAATTCAATAAATACCATACTTTATTTTAAAAGTTCATATGTCGTACACATGAAGACGAATAGCAAAAAAAAAAAAAGAATAAAAATAAAAAAGCAGACAAAATACTTAAAAAGTATACTACCTTGATCGTGACTTAGACTTGTGTTTGCGGCTTGCCTTCTTACCAGACCTTTGAGATTTCTCCATGGAGCATGACCGAATATGCTTTGATTTCTTAGCCTTCTTTTCCTTACTGCTTCCTGGCGATTCAGAACTACTCCTTGCACTAGATTCAGAGCCTGACTGCTTCCTGCTATCTTTGGTAGTAACTTTTTTGCTGTCTGGTCTGGAATCCTGTCTTATTATTTTCACAGATATTGTCTCACTGCGAGGGAAAATTCTTTCACTGTCTCTTTTCCTCTTCAACCTATTGTCATCGTGATTACCAGCCTTGCTTTCTTTTTCCTCCTTTTTAGGCTTATCTTTTCTTTTCTCCTGATCTCTCTCCCTTTCCCTGTTCTTTTTTCTGTCCTTGTCTACAGTTCCACCATGCTCTTTCTTCCTCTCTTGATCTTTACCATCACTTTTGTGTTTGTGCCTATTTCCAGGAGGACTTCTATGCTGGTCTTCGGGTTTGCGCCTGTCCCTGCTCCTGCTGCGACTGGCACGGCCCACTCTCCTGTCTCTTGAGCTGCTACTCCTACGTCTATCCCAGCTCCTCTCTTGAGACGGGCTCTGAATCCTCCGCCTCTCCCCTCTCTCAGCGCTCTGATTTCTACTGGATCTTCTCCTTTCCCTTATTTTTTCCCTGCTTCTACTCCTCTCTCTTCTATTTCTGTGAGAGTAGCTCCTGCTTCTGCTGCGCCTCACTTTGTGTGAAGGTGTCCTACTGCGACTGTGCCTCTTCTTCCTTTTAGGAGAGGAAGAACGCGAAGAACTGCGACTACTACCTGAGCTGGTGCTGTATGATGAACTAGATACAGTGCTGCTACTGCTACTGCTTCTGCTATTGCTGCTAGTGCTACCGCTGCTAGAGGTTCTTGACCTGCTCCTTCCTGTCCTCTCTTTTTCTTTACCCTCTTTTTTGGGTTCTATATCGGGTGCGATTGCATTTGGAGATCTTTTCTTGTCATGAACCAAATCTGCTTCGATTTCTTTTGCCTCCTGTGATGTCAAAATGCTGTTTTGTTCTTTGTTCATATATTCATTCATCTCCTTTGAAACTTTATCAATTTGTAGCCTTTCTTCTAAAAAAACAGACAAAAGAAAAAATGAACTTTCAGAAGTACTTGATGCCACTTCAACATTTCAGTGGTTTAAGACAAAGTTCTCAAATAACTACCATCAGCCACGAGAACTCCCAAATCCATTTATACACACCTACATTTTCCTCCTGCAGCCATTCTACACACCAGAATCTCCTTGTCTTCTTCACCTAGTACTCCCCTAGCTATACCTGAGCCTCCCGCCTCCCTTTCAGTTCTGTTCATGTGGGGCTGAGCGATCACTGGCTAGTTTAAAGAAAGCGTATTTCCCAAATAGTGCATGCATTGCCCCTGAATCTCAGAACAGTGTCGGCCGTAGCTGCCTGCATGTTCTGTGGGCCTTGTTAACCAAAAAGATCTTACAGAAACTACTTTCTGCCATAGTAACATGTGCTTGGTTTGGTTTTTTTGGAAGAAAACAT